TATTTGCTCGCTACTGGCGCTCTATCGTGTGTAATCGAACTATCATAGTATTGAAAAAGCTCGCCATTTTATCATTAGCTTTATGACAAAAATATCGCTGACTCATTTGGACATACGCTGAGTATATGAGCAACAACAACGACTGCATTTTGCTTGAATTTTAATTTAAAATTGTTTTATTGTTATTACGTTTTAATATTTTTATACTCTCCTAGCTATGTGACGAATTTATTGACTCGGTATGTTGTGGCATAGGGTCCTAAATCCACTTCTTATTACATCCAACCAAAACCTGTCAAATAGACACAACATTTTTCATTCAAATAGGGATCCGTCCAAAAACAACTTAAATAGGTAGTATTTATTGGTTTCATATAGGAAAACATACCATGTAAAATTTCGGTAATGGATTTCATTGTGTGAAATTTTAAAATAAAGTCAGTTTGAAATTTAATGGTATGGAATCTTACTTTGAATCGATTTCCACTAAATTTTTCGGGGGCTTTTGTACCACTCGTACGAAATACCATTGCCTTAGAATGCATGATATGACTTTGAAAAGTCTTAAATGAAAACATAGGTATTCGAGCTATAGCTATATTTGAACAGATTTTCACCAAACTTGTTGTATTTGCTTCCAGGCTAAATTCTGTCGAATGTGCCGAAATTCACCCAATTCTGGCTGATATAAATGTGAAAATGGATAAACATATAAGTAGGAACCACAAAAAAATCTGAACCCATCAGGACAAATTTGACAGAGATATTTCTGAGGTGTAACTGATAACTGCTATATCGTTGTTGTAGAGTACATATTACGATTATGAGAGACTTAAACATAAAATCGGATGTAACATACATATATATCGGAGCTTTTGCTATATCTGAACCGATTTCACATAATTTGAAGTACTTGCTTCTAGGCTGAATCCGATCAGATGTGCCCAAGTACATCGTATTTGCACAAATATTACACATATGGCGCACCATAAAACTAAAATTGGACGAAGATTTATATGGGAGCTATGTATATATTTGGATTGATTAACACCAATTTTAATATGGCTCTTTCTTGAGCCGAAACAAATGATTTGTGAAAAATTTCATCTCAATCGGACAATAAAGTACAGGTCGCATTCTTTTTATACCCTCAGCCATATGGCTAGTTACACCTTTAGCCATATGGCTAGAGAGGGTATATATCACTTGATACGGTCAAAACGTGCCTAGTCGGTTTTAGACCCTTGGTCTCTTTGGACTAAATCCGTTTCAGGAAATTTGGAGTCGATTTGGCGGTGTCCGTCCTGTCTGGCTGGATGGTGCACACAATATCTCTCGAAGGGAGTACCCGATTTGGTTCAAACTTGGTACATCGTAATATTATTATCAATCATAGATACACTTCGGAGATGGGCAATATCGGTCCACTCCTCCCGGTATCTGCCCTACAAAAGGTCGAAATTTTCAAAAAATATTTTTTGCACAGAAAGGGGAACGATAATCCGATTTTGCTCCACCTTTTTAAATCCTAATATATGCATTGGTCAGGTGCGAAAAAGGACAATATATATATATATATATATATATATATATATATATATATATATATATATATATATATATATATATATATATATATTGTCCTTTTTCGCACCTGATTATCCATGAAGCTTATAAAAATTAACATCCACTTCCATTTATACTTTGCATATCTGAATATTTCTATCAAACCAGGTACTCTTATAAAGACGGTAGAGATTGGAAAATTCCTTCCTATATGTTATAAAAATGGTAGAGATCGGGCCACTCTTTTTGTTACCTCCCCCACAAAGGGTCAACATTCAGAATAATTATGAAGCTCATCAATTAACATCCGATTCCATTCCAGGCTTAGTACATCTCAATATTTCCATCAACACAGGATAACAATAGATCGGACCATTTCTATACGGAATGGACAATATTGGCCCATTCATTTGGAGCCTATTCCATAGAGGGTCAAAAGTTGAATAATCATAACACAAGTCAAAATATATTTAAATAATCAAACATATTTTGTTGTTGCAAAATGGTCAGGCTTATCCCTTTATTGTTGTTTTTATAAAAACAACGTTTGTTTATTAGTGGAGAACGATGGTAATGTTTACCAGGGGGTAAGGCAGGGAATACCTAGGTTTCGGAAAGAGCCACCAATCCTCATCAGTTCCCTTGTTTTTGTCTGGGATATTCTCCCCAGAAGTTATTTTAAAAATAACTTCTATGACAAAAAACATTTTTTACCCAAGTGACGAGATCGTAAGCTCAATAGAAGAGGAACCAAAGAATTATATAAAACTAAAATTCTTTTGGAAAGTCTTCTAAATCTTACAACCGCACTTATAAACATTTTCATCTTTCTCCACTTGTTATGCTTTCGTTCAACCTGAACGAAGTAGCATAACCATGTAAGTTGGTTTTGTCTGTTACAACAAAAACCACTTCGTCGACCGTGCCTTGTCTATAAATAGAACAGTGTGGCTTGTTTGTTCATACATAGGCTGAAGGTATGCTTCTATGAGCAAAACCGACTGATACTATTTAACTTTTTTTCAAAAATACATATGCAGACGGATGGGGAAGAGTATAAAAAACTAAGGATATGTCTAAATTAGGGTAGGCGCCGATTTGATTGCGCAAGAAGCCAGAAATAGTGAGAATGGAGTCATGTTTCCATTCAATAATGTACAAAGCACCATTTTCTAAACTTTAGAACTACCACCCTATAAATAGCACACATCCATAAGGGCAGGCCGTTAGGTAAGCCCTTTGAAAGAGGTGTAGCGATGCTCTGAAAGGAGTTGACTAGGGCTGCAGGATTGACTCCCCACAGAAACTCTCGGCACCTGTTTTATCTCTGAGCTATCTATATAGATGGCAAAACTGTCAAGAATTTAGGTACCCTGTAATTAAACGTCCCCTTATAAAATGGTAATGTTGCCCCTTGGAATTTTGGATCAGAAAAATATAGGTTGTAACCCCGATTACATCACTTCAGCCAAGCAAAAATACGAACTACAGCTAACTTCAAATCCAAATTAATGCTAAAACACAAAACGTCTTTTCGGCTTGTGGCGCGTTTTTATATCAACCGTGCCAAGCACACTCCAATAACATCAACTTGATTATTGACAAATCCGATAGAGATTGAGTTATATTATTCAGAAAAATTGCTGGTATAATTGTCAACAGCTTTTCGCTTTGTGTTCTAAAGCATGTCTTCAAACAAGGCTTCCTTGACGAAGATTCCTGTATATTCTAGCAGAGCCTGTGTTTCCAGGTGTTTCCTATTGAGCTTGAGGAGTAAGTCTTATCCCTGTCAGTCTCTGTTACTACCTAAACAATTGTCTAGGATTGTTCCCACATATTTGATTTCAAGATACCTTTCCGTTCCACAATAATTTTGCTGTTCTTGTTATCTTAGATCAACATTGACTATTTTACTCGTGAGTAGAATTTTTCAAGATACCTTTTCGTTCCACAATAATTTTGCTGTTCTTGTTATCTTAGATCAACATTGACTATTTTTACTCGTGAGTAGAATTTTTGACTTTCATTCTAATCCCGCTGAATCGCGGATATTCTTTCTTTCTGCGGGAATGTTGCTTTTTCCAGTTCCTTGCTACTTTCACATTTTTTCTTCGGTAGCATCAAGAACAGTTATATTTTATAATTGAATGTTATTACAAAATTAAAATATTTCAGATTCCAACATTGACTGCAAATGCACAGTTAAATATTCCTTCATCGTTTCATATCCTATTAGTGCCTTCATCGAGATCATAGTTAAGACTTTTCATCTTCCATTGAATCTCTCCATCCGGACTCTTAACTTGCGCATACTCATACTTTCTAAATACAATGTTTTTCTCATCAGAAAAAAATCCAGAGCTGACCTCGATAGTATCCCACCATGACTATTTATATTTTATTCTAGGCATAATTTTTATACAAAACTTTTTGCCTTCTTACAAAGTACAAAATCTCAAAAAATTTGAGTGCCCGCATTTCATACAACCCAATTAATCTTCCAATAACTTGTTTATTTTTTTCAGACCATTCAAATTTCTTGTCGTGAAAACCCAGAGTAAAAATCCATTGTGTTTACGGTTCATATATCTAACCGAATTTTATAAAAAAAAAATCCATCCATTTTTTGCAAACTAATTAACAGTCTAGCCAACGTTAATTTCGAATACTTTCCGATAAACTCTCTATGAAATAATTTCTCGTCAAACCAGTTCCTGAAGATCGTTTAACAACCATAGCATCAAATTTAATGAATTACTTTATGAATCATTTATAGAATTGCTGCCTTGGCAAATATTTTTTTTTTTAATTTATACTTACTCACCAAATATCAGTTCCTCTATCAGACTCAGCCGTACGCCACATTAATTCTTTCTTTCATTGTTCATTTTGGGCTGCGGGGAAGGTGGCTCCTCCCATACCGCATATCTAAATGTCTAACTTCCTCCTCTTCATTTCCCTTTTTCTGATAAAAAAATTATTTTTTATTAATCTTTTGGAAATTAAAACAAGCATAAACAACAACAATACCCCCACCCATTTGTAGAGATTAGAAATAGAAGATAGTAGTAAAGCCATACCGGCAGCAAAGTGTTTGGCCAAGCTTTTGTTATTTTCTGTTTTAGTGTTTACAATTTCTTTGTTTGCTGAGTTTGTATGGTTATTGTGGAAATGTGGAAAAGTAGTTCCAAACTGCTACTGTTACAATGCGTTGAGTTCAATTTGTTTAAATAAATAATATATAAATAAAAAAGAAAACTAAATTAAACAAAATCAAGAAATTTGAAATTTGAATATACATAGTTATGCCTGCTATTTGCTCACACTAAAAACTACTGTTAAATATATATAGCTTTATAAAGTAGTTCGATTAAAATATTCGAAATTCTACATTAAAATATTGAAATAACTATTTGATTTTTGTATTCTTCCAGTTTCGCCTTTAAATGACACACAACAAACGCAACCTCAGCAAAGCCACAGGACTGCCAAATCATCAAATCTTACGACGACGACCTCCACCACCATTACCAATAATTTGGGCACTGCCACCACCCATACCGGGTCAACGACATCAACGGTAAAAACTCAAATCAAAAAGTCTGGCAGTTCTTCATCGACCCAATCGTCAAATCGCAAGGATAGTTTTGGTTCGCGTGATTCCCTTAACGATATTCTATCGGAGACCGGTTTGCCGACCGGCAATGTAGCTGCCCAACGCAAATCGCTGGAGAACAAAAACTTAGATTTGACCAATACATCCGATGTTGCGACACGCTTGGCACTTAAAAAACAACAGCAAATGCATACCCAACACCAGGAAACAAAGGTAGTTACATCGTCGTCGATTAGTAGCAGCAACAATACGAATACCACCATTACTACCTCGTCAATAGGAGCCACAAGTGAGCTACGCAAAAGCATGGAGAACATGGACGAAAAATCAACAAAGACTACACCGCCAGTACTTAATAAAAAGCCAACTTTACCCGTTAAGAAGACCACAACTGTGACAAGCATTACAGGTGAGTGGAATAATGCATTATACTTTTGAAATAAATATAATTTTTTCTTTATTCTAATAAGGTAACACTGCAATAGAATACACAGGTCGAAATTTGTAATTGGGAAAATCTTAAATGTTTGCAACTTTTACACATTTTTATGGATGAAAAAGTATTGCCTATTTTGGAATTTGGTATCACTTCACAGACTAACTTTGTCAACTCTATTACTTTGGTATGCTTGAGAGTTGGTTCACCAATTTTTTCAGTGACCTATCCAGTGAATGGCTGTGTGATCCCAATGCCTCGCATACCGCTTTTGTTGCACTCAACTCTTGATATGTCTGCAAGTTAGGTCAGCCGCTTTGTACAGTAAACAAAATTTAGATTCGGTTGAATGTCTATATGACCTGGGCGACTTCGCTGTTTCACCCAATTGTGGCGACAATACCATATGGTACCACTTTCATTCATATATATTTTGTGTAAAATTAAGCTTAGAGCGCTGATGAACCCATCTATGCGATTGTACTGTATGTATTTTCATTGAAGGAATCTGCAGGCCAAATTTTGTGACTCCGCAAACGAATGGTTTAACTCATTACGTTCGTTCGTTCCACAGCCTTCCTTATCTTCAAACTTTTTGATTTTTCGAATTACCCGACGTTACAACTGGCGATCCTGAGTCGATGTACATGCACGTACTAATTTTTCGGCTCGATACTCTTTCTTGATATTGATATTTTCGTTGTTCAATGTTCATTCCACTATATGCAATTCAATGCTATTGACATCTATCAATAAATAATCTGATCATATGTTTACCAATCTCCATAAGCAAACAGTATAGATCAACGAACAGAGAAAGTAGCATCCTTTATTACCGCTGTCTATATGAGAACAAGGAAAAAGTAGAGCAGGGCTAGCAAGAGCGCCTCAAAAATTGTTTGTGTGTTTTGAAATAACAAAATATTACAAGTGATTTTTCGCCTCTATTTACAGAGTGAGAAATAATTTGTTATCTTTAAAATTTCAATTTAAAATTTTCGGTTTTCAAAACAACTTTGTTGGTAAAAATTAATATTTTGATTAGACAATTCGGAGATATATTTGCACAATTATTTCAATTATGATTAATTTTAATATAAAACAAGTAACAAAGCTGTAAGTTCGGCCTGGAAGAACTTTGAATACCCTCCACCATCTGGAACGAATTTGTCAATTTTCGAAAAAATAAAATCTGTTAAAATCTTAAAAATACCGAATGTTGCCGTTATATTAGAGTCAAAAAGACGACGTGGACCTGCACAGGCAACTTTTGTCATAAACCATTACAATACTCAATTGCGAAACTTGAATAAAAGAAACGGTGAATAATGTAATTAAAATCATCAAAATACCGATTATCGGGGTGTACCGTTATATGGAGGCAATACTAAAACGTGAACCTACATGGCCCATTTCCAATACCAAAAGTTCTGCAGACATAATATACATTTGAGCAAAATTAATCTACTTCATTTACAGACGGACAGACGGACGGATATCACTAAATCGAAATAGAATTTTATGCTGATCATGATTATATATACTTTGTGGGATCTAAAATGTATATTTCGAGGTCTTACAATCGGAACGACAAACTTAATATACCCTCCATATTACGGTGGAGGGTATAAAAAATAATATAAATGTCCTTCAAAAATATATAAGTTAACATAATTTTGATGTTATTTGTGTTTAATAACCATCAAAGTTGACCCTTTAAAAAGCCACCCTTAAACCACAGGCTGACATACAGACATATGCAAATAGTCGTAGAATTTTACTCTGATCAAAAACTCATATCCTGTGTTGGGTCCTAAAAGATTATTTCTATGAATCACAAGCAGAATGACAAACGTATAAATGACAAAGATATAAACGTATGAATGACAAAGAACGTATATATCATTTCATAGAAATCAAGGGATATGAAAATGTCTCTAATTTGGAAGGACAATAAATTTGTCGATCAATATGAAATGAATTTATATTCCTAACATGTGAATTCGTATACAAATTCTGTCAAATAGAATTCAATAGAAAAAGATAACCTTAACAGTTCTAATTTCTACAATTTCGGAAATAATTGTTTCAAATATGTAGTAAGATATATTTATGTGTTCCAATATTTCTTACGGTGTATTCATAAAAATGTCCGACAGCACCCTCCCCATCGACTGCTCGAACAAAACTAAATATTCTCCCAAAACCATTTTGACAGAAAATTCAAAACAATTTATTTTTTACAATTGTGTTGGTGAATACACAGATATCCCAAGGGATACTCTTTGCCTAGCCTTGAAGTAGAACAATCAAATACGCAGTGCTCAGTAGCAAAGCGCTTCTAAAATCTTAACTTTTATTAACTTTTGCATCAAAAACCACATGTACATATTGGTCATAGACCTAATATTGCGGTCTAGATAACCTAACCTAAGGAAATTCCACATATAACCTGGTCTGAAAACGTTGCTCCAAATTTTCTTAAAGAAATTAAAAGATATGTCGTATTGACCAATAACACTTTCCTAAAACTTTAATGAATTTAAAGATATAATATGGAAATTCATAGACAGAACAGCTTCTCTTCGTATTCAGTTGTCCTAAAAAATGCAGTTTTGAAGACTCAAATTCTCTTTTATCCAACAATTCGTCAAGGATATTTGCATTACAAAAATTATTTCAGGCTTAAGTTTGAGAAATCATATTAACCAAAAAAAAAATTAATTTTGTTTTAATTAAACATTTATTTATTTCTCTTTTGCAGGCAATATTTTATCTGGTATAAAACAAAAGGTCAAAAGTGTCGAAAACAAATTAACGACAGCAGCATCACATGACTATGCCGACGGTGTTGGTAGTAGTAAATTATCCCCAAGTGCTGTGGCATCCGACAACAGCGGCGTAGTTATGAGAAGAGCCGCCACAATTGCTGCTGATTCTGATTTTGACCGTGTTGAACGCGGTTCAATCTTAACTGATATGCGCGCTGGACGCGTTAAGGCGCCAAAGCGTAGACCACCATCGGCAGCCATTAGCACAATGGGCGAGAGCAATAACAATTCATTGTATGTGAACGGCAATGGCAGTGATACGGCACAGAGCGATGATCAACTTAAATCCGATGATAATTCGACGGGAGAAGAACAATTGGCCAAACCAAAACCTCGCGAATGGGAAAAGAAAAAGGCTCCTTGGATGGAAGAATTGAAAGCATCACAAGTGAGAAAGAAAACATCTCCGAATGTTGATGGTGGTGCGGGTACCTCGGGTATTTTATTGGCTGATCGCACCTCAAAATTGATCAGCGAAGACATCAAGACTACCAATCAAACAGTATCGAGTACAAACTCCTCACTGACGGCTACGTCGTCAACAAAAGTGCAATCCTCATCGGTTTCCAGTACTAGTATAATGCAACAATCAATGGTAGTGGAGAGTAGTAGTAGCAGTAGCTCCAGCAGCAATGTAACCAATAAAACTCTCACCGATGCCATGACCAAGAGTTTAAGTGCTAAAATGGTCAGTGATGCAGCCGCTGTGCTGGCAGCAGCAACCTCCACAAATAATAATGCCTCAACCGTCGCCACCAGCTCAACAACCTCCAACACGGGCGTGGACGATGTCAGAATTCGGCCAAATAGTTTATCGATACGTAATCGCAGTGCCTCGCCTTCAATGGGTGGAGCATCTCGAAACGTTTTGAAAATGACCAACACCACCTCCGTTTCCCCCGCCGATGCGACCAGCAGCAATACACATCACACCAATTCGCATGCACCATCTTCTGTTGCCAAAACCACCTCTTCCTCCACAACCTCCTCCGATGTTCCCACCGTTGTTAACAATCATCATCATTCACATCACCCAATGGACAATAGTCACACCGCCACAGCTACCTCCTCCAAACAGCAGCAAGTGGATGGTAAACGGGTGTGCGACTTGGAATCCCGAGTGGAAAAATTGGAAAAGTTGGTCCATGCACAACAGCGTACAATAGACGATCTTGTACGGTCATTACGTGAAGAAAGTGATCGCAATAAAATTCTTCGTGCTGAATTGGATAAATATGCACAGTGCGTGACCCAAGTTTAAAAAAGATTGTGTTTTCTTTTTTATTTTTGTTTAGTGAATAATGTATGGCATTTGTTTTTTGTATTTGTGTGTGTGTGATGTTATATATGAATTATTACTCTATGTATTTGATTTTCTGATTTGTCCTGATGCCACCCTAATTTTATTGGACAATGAATGAGCCAGTTTAGAACTAAAACTTTAATATTCCCTGTTAATGCTCATTATTTTTCCCCTCCGACTTTTGTTCAGTCGTTTGTTCATAGTGTAAGGACAAAGAAAATATTTTCACCTTGCAAGTGGCATTATATTTTAAGACTATTTACATATATCGAGTGGTTACATAATGCTCGTTTACAGTAGTATTTTTTTTGTTAATAGATAGTATATATACGAATACATCCCGATCCTTACAGATAGATACACATATACATGTATTTTTATTATTTTCTTATCAACTTAATTGAAAACAAGAATCATAAAAATATAACAAACACTTTTATTATCGATATTAAATGTACGATCTTAAAGTGGATAATATTGGTAAAGGACATTCATTCAATATCGTGTTTTTTTTTTCTTTGCTTTCACAAATAACATTCCATGATAGGCGCTTTAAAACAATGTTCATATCGAAAATAATAAGTGAAACAATCTGAAAGTGTAACCACTTTTTCTTGATATTTTATCATCTGAAGTGTACTTGTTTATTTTCCCATGCATATCATGTTGTTTTTTAAGTTGGGGATAAAACATTTTTGTACCAAGGTGCTTCATTTATAGTATAGCCATCTAATATCTTATATTGGTATAGAAGAAATTATTTATCCTTAAATCAATTATTCCCTATCTAAAGGCGATTTGAAATCTATTAAAATTGTAACTTATTATTGAGAGAGCGTACATTTTTCAAAAACTTTTCCACTTTACAGTTTATATTTAATGCGATAATAATGTGGTATCTAAAGCTTATACTGCAATATATGCAAATGCATGAATTCATACATATAACATATATACCCTGCTTTTATTCTATTCCAAATACTATACATTACCTTATATACATTATTTGTTGTAAGTTTTTTAATGTGTTGTTTTTTTATTTTATTTTAAACTCCTATAATAATCATGCTACTACTATTACTCTTCTTTTGTTAAATTAGTATATTGCATGTCTAATTTTTATAACAATTTCAATTATAAAATTAAAGGATTTGAAATCCATTGTAATATTTAAATAATTCAAATATACATAATATCAAGACATTCCCCCTTTGAAGTAATGTTTTCTTATTTTATTTTTAAGAATGGTGTTATTATTTTTAGTCCAAAGTTTTCAAATCCAGAAACAGGCATGTCACAGAATCGGAATAGTTTGAATTCCGTAATTCAAAACTGATCGTTTTTGTTTTAGCTTCTTTAGATTTCGTACGATTTGGTGAACTACGAAAATCTCATTATTCAGTGTGGCAACACTATGAGAATGAAAGTAGGAATGAATAAGTAATCAAAACTAACCACAAAAAAATGGAGCTGGGGTCTTTTGTGAAAGCTTAAGTATCCAAAGATCCTTTAAACTAAATTACGACTACAGCGTTTTTCAGGCAGAAATCTTTCTGTAAGGAAGGCCATAGAGCTGCTGGCAAACAGAATCAATGAGATGAATGGACCGGTGACTATATATGTCGATAGCCCTGAAGGCTCTTAATTTCTTTTACAATCAAATCTATGGCAGTTCTGGATTGCAGGAATGCTCTGGAAAAGTTTAAGTCGTTTGTCAAACTCTGTTGGTCCCTGGACACTGCAACATATCTAGCAATGAATCAGCTGATGAATTGGCCAGACGCGGATCTGGGTCAGTAGATCTAGAGATTGAGAGTTCAGTGAAGCCACCTTTATGCCACTTCTTTCAAATACTGCACAAACATTATTTTTGGCTGATTTCAAAAGAACTGGCTAACTTTAAGGGGATGTAATGTCTCCAAAAATATTTGGCCGATGAACTCCGAAAGAAGATCAAGGATATGAGTGATCCATGATGAAGTGGACTTGAAGCTTGTGGTGGGCCTAATTACAGAACTGCAACATAAGGGTCACGACTTCCGAGTGGGGGTGACGATACTGAATACTGCAGGCTTTGTCAGGACTCCGAAACCGAGCCAGAGGTCATTCTCCAGACTAAAATGGTTAAGGACGACACGCTAATTACGCCGTCGATACGAACCGACTACCTTATCTATTCCTATCTTCAAATTCAAACTTCTTCACTACTCGTTTCCCTCCCTTTTATTATTCTATTCTTATTCTTCTCTAAATTAGGATGAACACAATGGACCAATGGGTCAACGAGTGTAGTTCCAATACAAAAAAAAACATCGTGGAGTTTAGATGTATTTTACAATAACACGCATAAAAGTTCAATTATTTTCATCATTACCTGTCATTTTTTTAAAGACAATATGTGGGAAAAAAGGAAGACAATTGAATTTTACTGAAAAACGAAATCAAAAACAGGATAAAGAAGCAAAGAAAGGAGCGGACAATATTTGTGTTTCTGTAATTGTCAGGAAGCCTTCTTCACAAAGACACGTTATTTTAATAATTAATACCTGAACTCTAATTATCGTCATTAAAAAATTTTTTCTTAAAAAATCCACTATTTATGTCAGACACTTTCGTAAAATATTCACAATTTAAGAGAGGAAAAATTCGTATGGAGCTGATTTTTTAATGGTCTGCTGATATTTGACTTTTATCCAATTTTGAGTACTTCGCATGCTTATGAAATCTGTTTCAACTGATACTATAATTTCACTGGACATTCATTGCATTAAATCCTATGGTGGACCTATCTAATCCTGTATGCCTTTTTCGAGTTAACTTAATTAGAGACTGGGTAAAATATAGCAATTAACAAGAAGAAAAAGTTTAAGGTTGGGTAACTTGCGTCAAAACTACCTAATATACATAGACAACAAAATGTTTTGTAAAATAAATAAAATTGAAAAGTTTCGCCATCGAAAATTTTGATGGACATACAGTATTGGCGTAATTTTGTAACAAACAACCAATTTCTATTCAAAATGAAAGGTATCTTCGTAGCGTTTATTGGATATTCTATTTCGTATTAAAGGGCTGCAACTGTGACAATTTTCTCTATTTATGCCATAGAGAGAAAACGCTCGTCATGTTGTGCCCTGTTTGATCAAACGCATACAGTACTTGACATCCAACTAAATGCTCGATGTCTCGTCATGTCGGTCACACTCAAACCCATCGTCATAACATGTAATGGCCAATAAAAGGGAATGTTGAATAATGTGTCATACAGAAATGTTCTATCCAAAAAACCAACAACAATTATGAAACAATTGCCACCGAAAAAGACACACACGTGATGAAGGCACAGCGCAATCGCTACCTGCTTTTCCGATATGTGAAAAAAAATTGTAATGTACAATTTCTTTGCGAATACTAAAATATTAAAGGTATTTCTAATTGGTCCACACAGAATTTTCACATTTCGTGGTTATTGACGAAACAATCTAAAATGTTAATCCTTAAAAACAATAATCCCCTGAAAAATTTTCTTATTTTGATTATAATTTCATAAAAGTTTGCCTCCGGTAGTGAGGTGTAAATGAGAATGAGTGCTATTGTAATAGACGTAACAATACTATATACTTCCATTGTTCAATTCTGTGCATATTCTGTTATTGAATGAGAGTCAAATCTCTGCCCACAAACTTAAATTTTAAAAGAACGCTTTCTGTAGATAGAAAATAGGCAAACAATATTTACCTCTTTTTTATGACCAAAATTTTATGATAATCACCTATAAATTGGGATTGTGCAGTATATATTTCATTTTTTTATATTCATTTGTTGAAGTCTATGCACATTTTGTTATTGAAGTCAATTTTATATTCACGCGGTGTTTGTTACTTCAAAATTACAGCACACACAAAAACACATCCTCATCCTCACAATTTGACGATGACATGGTTCGATGTCATCTGCATTTATGGAGAACACCATGCAAATATTCGAGTCAGCCATGGCACGATCGGGATGTTGTTGGTTGTCATTGCCTATCAAATACATAGCGCATGATTGAATAGACAAAATCAGTGTGTCGTAAAAAGCATAATTCACACAATTCGTCTTGTGCAGGCCTTTATTTCGTATTTGTTTGTTACAATAAATATTGGAACAAAACTTTAATGTAGATAGGTCGGGCGATATATATATATATATATATATATATATATATATATATATATATATATATATATATATATATATATATACATACATATATATATATATATATATATATATATATATATATATATATATATATATATATATATGTTTATATACAATACCAAACATATTCCTGTAGTTTGGAATTTGTACTTCCAACGTTTAGAATACAGTGTTGCATGGTATTTAGTTATGTTCACCTCATAATTGAAGGCAGAATGATTTCAGAATAGTCAAATATAATTACTAAGGTTTCTTCCTCAGAAACAAAGATGTCAAATAAGCCCCAAGAAATTGAATAAAGTGGCCAAGACCCCGAAAATAGCTTAAATCATACCATAGTTATAGCAAAACGTGGTCAGTTTTATAAGGGTGGTTTCTTCTCAAATTACCAACATTTGCCTATATTAGTACGAAAAATATAGTTAAACTGTAAAATATACTTGAAATCGGGATGTGCCCTTATCCGGGAGTTATGACCCTATCATGACCAACAAAAGCGATTTAAGGTATCTTGAAAGTTTAGGAAGAAATCCGTTTCTTACTAAATGCACGATTCGCTCTCATATTTTGCACCCTTTATATTCGGTATTTTGAGTTCTCATTGGAGGTTATAGAAGTAGGTCCACGTTTTGAAATGAGGTCCATAATGCTCTGTCGTTCACTGTTTGTATAGATGTGTTTGCATCTTCAAGCTGAAGCACGATGTAGGTCCTGCAGTTTAAAGGTAGATGCCAATTTAGACATGAAATATCGCCATTTAATATCGTATTGTGCACTTATTTCATTTTTGATATTATTCATTCGGAATTCAAATCAAATTAAAAAAAATGTCAAATTGAAAAAATCACAATTTTTATTCATATTTTTTATTGGCAAATTTTTATGTGATTTTTTACCAAGATACCATTCCGAAATTGTATGAATTGTCAAAATCCGTCAAGCCGTTCTTGATTTATAAGTGTAGTAACCAACACGACTTTCTTTTATATGGTGAAAATAATTCTTTATTTTATTCACCAAAAACGATTGAATTCAAAGCCAAATTAAAAAAAAAAAAACGTACATTATATAAAATTGACAGAAAAGAAAAACAAATAGGGAAAAGAAAGAAATCTTCAACTTGTTCGCTGGTTTTTTACAGCAAATGTTACAAGGTCTTTACGAAGTTGAAAAATGCTTCTCAATTTTTTTCCTGATTTTAAAATTTTTGTAATGATTTTGATTTTTAGCGATTTTGAAAAAGTAATTGTCCATTAACTTTGATGTGACTGCGTTAAATTATTTCGCCATTAACTATTCAGTTTCCACATAATTCGGTACTACACTTCAGTGTAACCCGTCTGTAATTTCAGTTCACAAGAAATCGAGTCAATTGAAAAAATCGTTCGTACAAGATAAATTATTGATTGTTTTTGTTCATAGCTTATCCTCTTCTGAAATGATATTATTCGTATAGTTCCAACCAAATTTATTGAGCGAATGCCAATTCGGCGAGCTGTGTCGATCTAGCTATGTATGTCCGTCCGTCCGTCTGTCCATGTTAATTTGTAATCACTCTACAGGTCTCAATTATGGCCCAATCTTCACGAAATTCAGAATGGTGGTGGGGCTAGGACCTGAATAGGAGATGATTGCATAATATTTAGGGGTTGAAATTGACCAACAACTAAAAATGTTACTGATTTTGCAACTATTATAAAGGTCACAAATAGAAACTAAAGGACACGCAATTTCGAATGAAGTAACAGTTTAGGACAGCGAGTTAAATAGACCACTACTTTTGTGTGAAAAAATACCAACATTTCCATTCTACCAAAACGCTGAAAATAACTCACAGGCGATATCCAAAATACACAAAAAGGCGAATTCTGGCTTTTTTTGCTGATTTCGTTGCCGATTATAGCCAAATATCATAGACAAGCAAATCATATAGATGAGTCTAAATTTGGAGATGCAGAGGGGCCTCTTGCTTTTGGAGATGATCGCAAAATATATAGGGGTTCAAATGAACTAAAAACAGAACAATTTTCCTGATCACAAAATTGAGACCAATCGGCACGGAATTTCACATTAGAAGAGAGACAGGGAAGAAGTCTAGCATTTTGGATGAACATTGGATTTTATTTAGCTGTAAAATGGACCACAATAACTAACAGACCGGCACGGAATTTTACATTAGAAGAGGGTTAAGGACTGGAAACAAGTCTAGCATTTTGGATGAACATTGGATTTTATTTAGCTGTAAAATGGACCACAATAACTAACAGCATGACGGAGTGCGTAAATATTAGGCAAATGTCCCTGGTCAATTTGCTAGGGGTAATATCTGGGCAGTGCTCTATGACATCATTTCAAAGGAAATCTTCCAAAATGGATTTGGACAAAAGTGGGCTTCTAACATATTGTAGTGTTGTAGGGTATCACATGGTCGGCCCCGCACGACTATAGCCTTTGCTTACTTGTTTGATATAAGTAGGTCATTTCAAGATGCCATCCTTGTTATGTATCATAACCTTAGTTCTGACTGTACCTGTCCTACTTTCAGATTATTATTGTACTATAGGTTCTCTCACGTCAATTTAGCTTGAAGCTACCCCTTAAATTGTTTTTGTAATGATTTACCTATCCGACCAACACCTATACTAAGTTTATGTTTTTCTCCTAGCATTACAAAAATGCTAGCCAAAGACAAATAGACTTCATGTATTAATTGTTAAAATACAAAACATTGATAAGTCTTAGGGTGGAAATACATAAATCGCATATTTGGCTGGCTTAAGTCATCGGCTGGCTTTTTCGTAGATGAAAAAAGAGTTTTAGGTTGACTTAGTTAGATTTTGGCCCTAGGCTCCTTTGTTCATTGCCGAAGAAGCCAGCCGCTGACTTAAGCCAGCCAGATAAGCGCATTATGTATTCCCACCTTTACTGTCTTTCTCTGATCCAAGACAATTTGTTTTGTGTAAACGCCTGGTACAAGCTCGAAGAAATATAAATGTATGGGCATACTTTTAGGCATAAAACACTATAGAATTGTATTTACATTCTTTGCAATTCCTGAACAGAGCAATTGTAATAAGCTGGTAATTTATTGTACCATGGGATCCACTATGACTTTATTTGAGGAAACATTTATAGGAATTTTTTTCAGTAAGTTTCTAAACAATAATAACTTATCAATTTTTAAATCATAAACATAAAGCATAAAATTATGCTGTTGCACTTCAGCACTATAATTTTTTCTTTCACGTAGTTTGCATAGTATTTTTATTGTTTTAAAATTTTTCAAAAAATATGTATCTGGACATTATCAGCCTATAAATATTTAACTATATAATTTATATATGTACTTTTATTGATTGATTTTTAATTGTGTATATGAAAAGAATACTTAATTCTAAATCTATCTTAACTTAATAATGTAATATATATGTATTATAAATTAATATTTTACATGAAATTAATACTTATTAATCTTTTAAGTTAATCTACAATAAATTGATAATAAAATAAGAAATAAAAATTGTAAAAATAAATATTTTTGTTTTATTTTTATTTTTTTTTTCTACTCTCTTTAATCTTGGTTTTATACGAATTTATCAAATACAATAATATGTGTAATATTCTTTTTTTCTATTTTTCAATCTTAAAAAAATTATGCTTACAATATGCGCTTGCATCGCCTTGGCTTTTGTAACAACAACTGCAACTATGACAATACAGGAAACCTACACGTCGCGGCAAATTTGACAATTGGATGTTCTAGGAAGATTTTTCATCGAAATTTCATATTTGATGTAGACTTAAAAACAACAAAAACAAACAACATAGAACTTTTCGAAATGTGTATTGTTCAATTATTAAAAATATTTTAATTTCATGCTTAAATGGCTTTAATTAAAATTAAATATGTATTTTACTAAATACACAAAATATATACATATTTGTAGTTATGATAATCCTTATACATTTATATATACATATATTTAGAGAAAAAGAACAACACAAACACATAACAAATTAATACTCGTACCAATCTATGTGATATTCAGTTATCATTTTTTTTAATTATTTATTATATGAAAATGAAACAAATAACAAAACTCAATTTAACACTGAAATACTTAACAGACACATAAGAAGAAAAAAAAAAACAAAACCAGCAATTAGATAAATGTTGAAAAAATATATATATATTCATAAAAAGAAAAATTAAAAAAGTAAAGAAAAAAACAATTAATCGGTTGTAAATATAGGACATACAACAACATATACAATAAAATAATAATGTTTCAAGCATTTTTATTCAAAATATGATATTAACAAAAAGTAATAAAATTTAATTTTCATTTAAAATTTGTACTTATTGCATAGCAACTGGTTTCTAGGCAACTAAACTTATTTATCGAGTAGAACATTTTAATTTCATTAATTATAACATATTACAAAAAAAAGAATAAGGCGATGACTGATCGATTGACTGAATCATCCAAACGAAGGACACGACACAAGGTTTTATCGTGAAATTTTACATAATGTTTGCTTTTAAACATAAAAAGTTTTTTTTTTTTTGGAAAATTGAACTAAAAAATCGCAAAACGGTATTGAGACATGGGAAGCTGCTTTCAGACGATAAGGATTTTACATTTGTGCTGTCACATTTATTATCCGTGTGTATTACCGTGTTTTTGTCGAAATTGTAAATTTACAATGACTCATAATTCCTGCTATCACACACTTGCTCTGCCCCCAGAACCAGCAAGAATCTACTAGTTTTGCAATATTCTTCGATATCATAAAGGTAAAATCTGTCAAGTAGTAAAAATGTTTAGATTCTTGCACTCCTGGAACAAACCAATCTATATATATAAAAATCATTTGTTGTTTGTTGGTAACGGAATCAGTTGAAAACGGCTGGACCGATTTGCATAATTGTTTGTACAAACGTTCGTCATACCCCGAGAAAGTTGTGTTAGTTACTACTCTTTTAACATAAAGACCGTCGGCCTGATTTTAACGATTTAGACAAATTCGGAATTGGCTCTTGGCAGAAAAGAATACAATCCAAAAAAATCGCGTAAAAATGTGAAATTTGAACATTTTGACTTTTAAAATGTACAATAGTAATGTTTTATATTGCACATTTTTTTCCATTTTGACTTACTATTTTCGAATGTACATTTGTAGTGTTTTTTTTGAGTTCTAATATGATGTGTAGGTTTTTTTGGGTAGTATAAAGTCACAACGGATAAAACTGTTATTTATAGGTTTTATGTATTTATTCGTAATACCCAATAAATACATAAAATCTATAAATAACAATTTTATCCGTTGTCGCTTTATATGAAAATTCTAAAATCGGGAAAAATCGACAATTTTTCAATGGAATCGAATTTCAAAATAGTAGTACATTCTACCGACAAACTTCATAAGGACCTTTAAAAATTTGCCGCAAAAAAAAAAATCAGCGAACCAGTTGAAGATTCTTTTTCTTTTTTCTATATTGAAGTGTACATTTTTTATTGGTTTGAATTCTGAATGAATAATATTAAAAATGAAATGAGGGCGCAATACGATGTTAAATGCTTTCTACTCCAGGACCTACATCGTGCTTCAGCTGGAAGATGCGAACACATTTAAACAAACAAAAATTACCGAAGAAGCGTTATGGGGTTAATTTCAAAAGGTGGACCTGCTTCTTTCATATGACAATAAATTGTCAAATGAGAACACAAAATGCCCAATACATTGGGACTGCAATCAGTCAAATACCGACTATAAAGAACGCAAAATATAAATTCTACCTAAACATTCAAGATACCTTTAATCGCTTTGGCAGGTCATGATATGGATCATAACCCCTGATAACGGAACAACCCGATTTCAAGTATATTCTACATTTTAACCATATTTTTCGTACTAATTATAGTTTATGTTGATAATTTAAGAAGAAACCATCTTTGCAAAAATTTATCACGTTTTGGTATCACCATCATATGATTTAAGATATTTTCGGGGTCTTGGTCACTTTTTTTCATTTTTTGGCTCTTATTTGACATCTTTGTTTCTAAGGGGGAAGAAAACCTCTTCTTATAAAATTTTTATTTTTATTTTTCGGAAAAGTGCGCATCTTAGTTTTGAGGCTACTTGGGGTAAAAAAACCCTGGGGTAGAAAATCATCTTACAGATAATTATCCTCATAGGAATTTATTTAAGTATAGTCCCCACATTAGTATACCCCCAAGTCCACTTTCCCAACCAATGTGTGGTCAGAAAAGAAAATTTGGTATTCTATTGAATTTGTAACCCCCAAGAGAATATTGGCTGGAAACGTAGATTTGGTATGTACGTCTATATGAAATAAACTCCGAAATGTCAATCTAGGACTCATTCAGTCGGAAATTGTGGCAGAAACATAACAAAATACGAAATTATAAAGTAAGTTTATTGAATCTCCACCACACAATTTAAATGACAAACAATTAATGCCCATCTTACGGTAATCGGAGCAAAAGAGTAATTTTTTTGGCTATTCTGACAACATTCTGCCTTCAAGTATGAGGTGGACAAAACTGAATACCACGCAGTACGGTATTTTAAACGTTGGAAATACAAATTTCAAATTATAGCTCATTTGAATGCTTTTTACAATATCAAAAATTGAGCTGAATTTTCACATAGGGCTATTATAGATGTTCTTTATCATATAGGTATTTAACACTCAAATTAAAGCCTATAGCTGAAAAATAAGGTCAGGTTATTCAACATATCTAAAACCGACGGTAATTATAATTTTTGCCATGAATATTAATTTATATTTAGTCATGGAGTCATTACTCATAATCAAGTCATTACTTATAATCAAAATTGGAGTAATTATAAGGCTGCAAATACATAAAAGGCTTGAAGTCATGGCTAGGCATATTAATGCCAAATTATAATGAAAAACGACGGCAGGATTTTAGTGCGGCTCTGTAATTCCTTTGTGAAATGTCACAAAATAGGCCGTGCCATGACTTCAAGCTTCTTATGTACTTAGCCCTTAATGGAATCATTACATAAGTCAGATCTGTGATTTATTATGCTTTAAAGACTAAAAGTACGGGCCGGCAACGCGGACCGGGCCAGCTAGTTGTGTTTATATTTTATTTTCTATAAAATTATCAGACATGTCACAAAATCGTAATACGCCGGAGGAATTAAGGATAATAATTAAATTATTAATTAATTAAATTAAAATATTAATTAATGATTAATTGCATGGCAGAAGATTTTTTTATTTTTTTTCTTATACGACGCCATTCGGAGGTTATTATAATTCGCGTTTTTCAACAATTTTTGCTAATTTAAATAACTTTTCATTCAACTTTTTCAATTCCAAAATAGGTTTGACAGTTCATTGTATCAGCAGCTGTGTCTATGCGTCTACCTATATTCTTCTACCATGATTAATTGATTAAACATCATTCCACAATACATATTTCACATATTTTAGGATACATTTTTGTACAAAATTATTTTTTGTGTGTTCTTTTTTGTTTTGTTTTTTCTCTTTGGGTATGAATATCGGTGGATATACGCGCTTTAAGAAATCGTGGAACTAATGGGCTAGAACCCATTATGAACTACAAATACCAATTTTTAAACAAATCCGTGGAAAATGTGCAAAAATCATCAGAATATCGAATATCAGCAGGTGCCGTTATATGGGGGCTATACTAAAATGTGGACCTATACACACGAAGTTTCGCCACACGAGTTTAAACCCATTGTGAACTACAAATGTCAAATTAAGCGCAAATCCGTCAAAAAATGTGGGATACAATGAACCTATTATGGCCTAGAACCTACTATGACCTACAAAATACCATATTTTTAGACAAATCCGTGGTAATATGTGGCAAAAATAATCAAAATACTGAATATTGGGGGTATAGACGGGACCGATATATCTCATTTTTAATACTAACCATCCTAGACACAATACAAATTGTTTTGTCAAATTTTGAATATCTACGTCAAATAATGTGGCCTGTATCGTGATTTTAATATACAGACATACGGAAATCGTTAAATCGACTTAGAATTTTAGGCTTTATGGAGTCTACGACGAATATTCAGGGATGTTACAAACGGAATGACAAATTTAATATTTCCTCCTTTCCAAGGTGGAGGTTATAAAAATACACTAACATAATAATAATATATAGTTTATATAGTATAACGTTTCTTTTAAATTTAAATATTTCTGTAAGCTCCTCAGAGTATGCTATGAATATTTCAATGTGGAAAAATTCACTTTACGTATGACTTAGATGTAATTTGTCCTTCACCAATATTTTTTCTGAAATTTTGAATGAGATCATCTATAACTAAAAAACAGTTAAATTAAAAGGCTTCGACAATATTTGCGCATTGTCCATACACTAGGGCCGATTAGCGTTGTTTAGTTTCAAGTTGTGCAGGTCTGTTTTTTTTTTTGGAATATTACAACACTCGGCAACAGTGATCGTCACCTTTGTGTTAAAAAGGGGAATTTTCTAAAAATAAGCGAAGAAATCCACTGAGTAAGTTATTTAAATAAAATAAAGCTCTTTCTATTTAGTTATAACGCAAAAAAATAACGATATTGAAGCCAGTAATAGTTGCTTTAACAGATTTAATTAAACCTTTTTTTGATATACCAATCAGAAAATCCGATGGCAATGAAAAGTATAAACCAAAGAGATCTCTCAGTACACTGGCGCTGCAATAAAAAGCTTGAATACAGACTGCGATTTTCGTGTTGTGTGTGTGATATTTGCACGAAAAATTATCAAAGTTCAAAAGAGTACCTAATAATATCTGCCTAATAAATGTCATAAAATACCAGGCAATTATTTTAAAGGAATCCTCATTCATGCCATGCAAAACATTTATTTGAGGGTACATATTTCCCGTTTCGACATGTTTAAAGTCACACCACCAAAATTTGTATTGAATGATTTTATATTTATTTTTATCTAGCTCGCTCATTTCCTTGATGTCATGTACATGTCCTGTTGTTGGAGTTTGCTTTTAGAATTCGTTACCGAAGCGACCGAAAGTTTGTTGACAATTTTCGTACGAAATTAACAACAATGCAAAATTAATAAAGAAATAATTGTTTATTCTGTAAAATTGGCACTTTAAACTAAAATTTAACGATTTTCATTGTGAATCAAATCACAATAATGTATTCTTATAGCAAACATGCTAGTCATCTGTTCTTGGTCTTATATATAAGACTTTATAAATAATTACGTTTTAATAAACAGGAAGCTTCTGATCCCAGCATGAACCACATTTCTTTGGTATTTAATCAATGCACTACTTATGGCGAGGTTGCATTTTAATGTCAGTCCCATTTGTCGTGGCTTGAATTATTTGACAAATAGCTGTCATTCCATGCGCTGTGATGAGACTCTTCGAGTGCGTCCTTCTCATTGAGATCATCATAGGACGGCGACACAGACTTGTGATTGTCATAGCGGTGGGCGTTAGAACGACGTCGTAAACTTAATTCGGTCAGGTAATCCACAGCACTTTGTGGTGGCAACGGGTCGGTGGCTTTTACATATTGTTGCAAATAATTTATGTAATTTATGGCTATTCTGAAAAATAGAAAAAATACAATAATTCATTCAGGAAATCTAATTAGACTGAATATTAAATTTTATATGAACTCACCGTAAACTTTCAATTTTTGAATATTTTTTACCATTGGACTTGGATATTGGCAATTTGGAACGCAGCAGATCGAATGCTCGATTCATGTCTCGCATTCGTGTTCGTTCTCGGTCGCAGGCAGTTTTTTTGTAGTCTGAAAACATAAGGGAGGATAGTTATTTTTAGCCATAAAAAATATAACTGTTCAAATTTTTGTAGAAGGTACAGGTCAAAATTTTAAAAAGTCTATTCAAAAATAAGTTTAATTTTACATGTATTCTTATACGACACTAAACGTAGGTTGTTATGATATGTATTTTTCAAAAATTTTAACAAATTTGAATGACTGTTCATCCAAGATTTTGAATACCAAAATTAATTTGACAGTTCATGTACCAGCAGCTGTACCATCGCGGCTACCTGTATTATTTATCATTGTCTATAAAGTAAATAAATAAGGCTTTCTTTTAAGTTTAAAAGCATTCCTTTTCAGTTAAAATCTATATATATAAAATCAATTGTTGTTCGTTGGTAATGGAATCAGTTGAAAACGGCTGGACCGATTTGCATAATTTTTTGTACAAACGTTCGTCATACTCCGAGTTATGTTTTTAAAGAAAACATATTGACCACGCATCCTTTTACGCCCACTATTCCGATTTATCTAAAATCCTTATATTTCCCAAATAATGAAGATATTGGTTTAAAAATTATTACACGAGATACTGTTGACCTTCCCTCCAACCCTAAGTATTTGTTTGGGGGCTGAGAAACTGACCACGCCTACTTTTTAATCTATCTATACATCTTTATATATAAAAGAAAGTTGTGTTAGTTACTACGCTTTTAACTTAAGAACCGCTGAACTGATTTTAATGATTCGTACAAATTCGGTATTGTCTCCTATCCGAAAAGGATAATAACCAAAAAAATCGCGTAAAAATGTGATACATTAACATTTTCATTTTGTTTTTGGAAAGTTTCAATAGTAATGTTTTATTTTGCATTATTTTTTTCCGTTTTGACTTACTTTTTTCTAATGTACATTTGTAGTGTTTTTTATATTTTTTATTTATGAATTCGAATATTAATACCAATTTATTTAATTGACTTGATTTCTTGAGAACTGAAATTGATGGCGGGTTACATGGAAGTGTAGTACCGAATTATGTGGTGGCAAAACGGAATAAATGATATCGAAATAATTTAACGCGATCACACCAAAGTTAAAAGATAATTAATTTTTCAAAATCGCTAAAAAATCACGAAAAAGAGATCTCATTGCAAAAATTCTCAAATCGGGAAAATATCGAAAAAAAAATTCAATGGAATTGAATTTTAAAATAAAAGTACTTTCTATTGACAAACTTTGTAAGGATCTTTAAGCGGTTGCTGTAAAAAATCAGCGAACAAGTTGAAGATTTTTTCAATTTGTTATTCTTCTTTTGTCAATTTTTTTCAATTAGTATTATCATATTGAATTCAGTGGATTTTTTGTGAACAATGAAGAATAATTTTTCACTATATACAATTTTTCACAAAAAAATAATGAAATAAGTGCGAAATACGATGTTAACTAACATCTACCTTTCAACTCCAGGACCTACATCGTGATTCAGCTGGAAGATGCGCACACATTTAAACAAACAAAAATGACCAAAAAACCTAATGGGACTAATTTCAAAGCGTGAACCTACTTCATTCATGTGACAATAATCCGTCCAATGAGAGCTCAAAATGCAAAATTCTTTGGGAGTACAATCAGTCAAATACCAAATATAAAGGGTGCGAAATAGTAGAGCGAAAGGGACTTTTAGTAAGAAAATGATCTCTCTCCTTCCAGAAATTCTTCCCGAACATTCAAGATACCTTAAATCGCTTTTGCAGGTCATGATATCGATCATATATAATCATCGTATGATTTAAGCTATTTTTGGGGTCTTCGCCACTTTCTTCTAATTTTGGCCCTTGTTTGGCATCTTTGCTTCTAAGGGGGTAGAGAACCTCTTCGCATAAAATTTTCGGAGTAAGGCCCATATTGGTCTTGACCACATTCATCAATTGATTTGGCTAAAAAATTGTATTTATGCTATCCTGGGGTAAGGAACCATAATACAGATAATTGTCACATAGAAATTTATTTAAGTAAAATCCCCACATTGGAGTATCCCCAAGTCCACTTTCACATCTAATGTGTGGTCAGAGAAGAAAATTTTGTATTCTATTGAATTTGTAACCCTCAAGAGAATATTGGTTGGGAACGTAGATTTGGGATGTACATGTATATCAAATAAATTATAAAAACATGAACAATTTACAAATATAAGCAAGTAGCACGGGACCGAATATTTGTTGAATCGTCGTTGAATTATACTCTCGAATTCACATTTTAAATGACAAATAAAATTAGTTCCCATCTTACGGTAATGGGTGTAAAATAGTAATTATATTTGCCTATTCTGAAATCAGTGTGCCCTCAATTATGAGGTGGATAAAACTATTTTTACTTATTTAAATCTCGCGACATTTTTTTTCTGATTGACATGCTATGTTGTTTGACCTCTATTTGTCATCTTTGATTATAAGGGGTAGAAGAAAGTTTTCAATGTAGGTCGATGTTTCGGAGTAGTGCCCATATAAAGGTACCTCCTGATTTTACCATATTTCAAAGGATTTGGCTAAAAATGTGTATTTGAGGGGTGAAAATCTTACACAAAAATTTCAACGTATCTACAAATTTTAGAATTTTTTCCATGTAACAGTACCCCCTCAATTCAACCTTAATGCACAATCTGAGGTGCTAATGGGTTTAAAAAAGTAATTAACTTTGGCTATTCTTAAATCATTCAGCCCTCAATTATGAGGTGTACAAAATACAGTAAATTCCAAATTACTGCTCATTTGACTAAAAATTAAAAATTAATCGACCAGTACGTGAACACTTATAACAGTCATATCTGTGAATAATTATGCTTTGACAAATATGCATAATAGACAAAAACTACGGGCCGGCAACACGGACCGGACCAGCTAGTAAGCTATAAAAATACTTAAGACAAATGCTATTGGAAACGTTAAACATGTAAATAAAATACTTTGTTGTTTGAATTAATAGTGTAACATGCCATGTTACAAAAGTTATAAAAACATTGAAATGTTTAAATTTGTTAACGGTCTGTTCAAATAAACCTACCGAAAATGTCAACTTTTTAACTTAAAATATTGAAAAATTCACTTTACATAGGACTCTAACGTGACGTGTAATTTGTCCTTTCTCAATAATTGCATAACTTTTTTACCTCTTGGTATGAGTTACCAGTTTTGCACAGTATTTTATTAACGAAATCTGCACATCCAGTTTGAGCCTGCTCATTTACGTTAGAGTCATATATAAAATCATATGTAAAGTACATTATCCCACAAGTTTAAATCCAATAAGTATAGAATAAACAACCAGTGTATTGATAGCGATGTATGACATATATATTTATACCCTACAAACACTATGTGTTGGGGGTATTATAAGTTTGATTGGGCCAAAAATTATGTAACACCTCGAAATATTGGTTTCCCTCATAGGAAAGTATATATGGATCTTCCTATCTCGCCGAACTGAGTCGATCTAGCTATGTATGTCCGTCCGTTATGTTAATTTGTAATCAAGCTACAAGTCGCAATTATGGGCCGATCTTCACGAAATTGAAAATGGAGGTTGGGTTAGGGTCAGAATAGAACCCTATTGTTTTTTGGGAAGATTATTGCACAATATTTAAGGGAAAATTTTCTGACTTTCCAATTGCTCTATAAGCTACAATTATACACCAATCGACGCGGAAATTTATATGGAGTTAGAATTTAGGACTGGGCGGCCATCGGACAATATTTAGCGGGTAAAATAGACCCAAACTTTTATGTAAGAAAAGGTCACTTCTGACCATAAAGTGATAATGATAGCCAAGAAATTAGATATATAGCAAAATAGGTACAATACATATGTAAAAGAATAGATCTTATTTATTCTGATTATAAGTCAAGAACCGCTGGGCCGATTTTCACAATTCCCATCAATTCGGAATGCTCTTTTGCCAGAAAAGGATAAAATCTAAGAAAGTTTTTTAAGTTTTTTTCAATTTGACTTACAATTTTGAATTGTAATTTTTTTAAATTTTTACACCCTGTTTTTAGTCGCTCTATAGACAACAATTGAAAACTAATCGACAGGGAATTTCGCATCAGAAGAGGGTTGGATACAGGGACATTATTTTTGACATTATTTCAAAAACGAAATCTTCCAAAAAGGATTTGTACATAAGGGAACTTCGAACAAATTGTAGTGTTGTAGGGTACCACATGGTCGGCCCCGCACGACTATAGCCTTTGCTTACTTGTGTGTAGTATAGCGTTACAATACTTTTCCATGTGTATGATTAAAAAGCTTTTTGTACACCATTATATTTATCCCAGCATGTTCAGATACAATAAACGATTAGCATATGTCGGTTCGCCGGTGTATATATACCCTCAACGCAGCCAATTCCTGAACAATCATTTGTGAAAATTATATGAATTTAAAATTTTTTTAAACATTTGACTATTAAGGAGAGAAGAACATATATTGCAAAAAATTGGACGTTATCTATGTTTCATAGAAATGCAATAATATGTAATTTTAGATCGATTCAAACAAACCCTTCGGTCTATGAATGGTTCTCTACCCCAGAGTAGTCTAAACACAATTTTTTAGACAAATATGCCAAATAAGAGCCCAAAAAATGAAAAACTGGTCAAGACCCCGGAAATAGCTTAAATCATACGATGGTTATACCAAAACGTGAACATTTTTGGTAAGGATAGTTTCCTCTTACCAACAACTCAAATTGTCAATATTTTCCGAAATTCCTATAGAAAATATGGTTAAAATTTAAAATATACCCTTATACGGGGGTTATAACAAAACTTGGGACTATATGATATCTTTTTTTAAAAATTATAAATTCTTGTGGAGAAGGTACCAAAAGGAGTGAACAAACAGTGTCAATCTAAACTCTTCAAAAACTTCAAAAACAATAACTTATATCGATTTCACAAAATTGGATTTATATTTTCTTTAATTTGAAGCAATGCATCAACTTCGAAATAAACATCCTATCATAAAAATCGTATTTATTTATTTCACAGTTGTCCCACATATGGGAAGGTATTAGGAAATGCGACTTAAATTGTCCAAGTACCGAATATCTGAAGATACCGTTATAAGTGCGCTATAGGAAAATGTGGACCTATGTAACCAATGTTCTGCCACCGGAGTTGGAACCCACTACGAAATCCAAATACCTTTTTTTAGACAAAACCGTGAAATTATGTAGCAAAAATCATAAAAATGCCGAATAACTGAATGTACCCTTATATGTGGGCTATATATACAATTATTCCCATAACGAACTACAGATACCAATTTTCAGACAAATTGGCGGAAAAATGTGGCGTTTTCATATAGCCCCCATATAACGGTACCTCCCGATATTCAGTATTTTGATGATTTTAGCGACATTATTTTGGTATTTGGTATTTGAAGTTCGAAATGGATACTACAGCCTAAGACAGAAAACTGTCTGTGCAGGTCCACGTCTTCGTATAGCCCCCATATAACGGTACCTCCCGATATTCGGGATTTCGATGATTTTAGCGACATTATTCACCGGAATAGTTTCAAATTTAGTATTTGAGGTTCGAAATAGTTACTACAGGCTAGGACAGAAAATTGTCTGTGCAGGTCCACGTCTTCGTATAGCCCCCATATACCTCCCTATATTCGGTATTTTGGTGATTTTAGCGTCTTTATTCACTAAATTTTTTTCAAATTACGCATTTAGAATTCGTAATGGAAACTCCAGTCTGTGACAGAAAATTGTCTATGCAGGTCCAGGTCTTCGTATAGGCCCCATATATCAGTAGCTCCCTATATTCGGTATTTTGACGAGTTTAGGTACAATACTCACCGAAGTTGTTTGAAATGTCGTATGTGAAGTTCGTAATGGATGCTACAGAATATGACAAAAAATTGTCTACGCAGGTTCAGGTCTTCGCACAGCTCCGATATAACGGTACCTCCCTATATTCTATACTTTGATGATTTTAGCTACATTATTCGCGTTTATTTCAAGTTCCGAATTTTAATTTGGTAATGACTCATGACAAATAATGCATGTGTGGGTCCACGTCGTATAGGCACCAATATAACAGCAATATTCCGTATTTTTAAAATTTTACCAAAATTTTTTCAGCATTTTGTTTCCAAATTCGTTCCAAATGGTGGAGGGTATTTAAAGTTCGGCCCGGCCGAACTTGCTGCTTTTTAACTTGTTTTCTGTTCCTAATGTCGGTATTAAATAATATAACAGAAAAATGCTTGATTTGTATGTTTTTAAGTTATAAAAGTGATCTTCAGACTGTTATTTACTATTATTAAATATTTCTGAGTACAGAAGTATTAAACTTAATTTACTTAAATCGATTATTATGTTGACGCCACCAATAAATGTAAACAAAAAAGTGTAAAGATAGAATTGAATTGCACCACTTTAATTTAAAAAAAAATTAGGTACCTGATGTTCATGCAAAATAATGTTCATATGGACCCAAAACTTATTATAGCCATTTTTTCAATCGATTTTGCTGAAATTTAACATTTTTTCTGGGATACGGTAACATAAACGTAAAAATATGTCCCAAAAATTATCAACATTGGACATGTTTTTTATATAGCCCCCTATAACCATACCCCACGATTTAAGCGATTTTCAGATTTTGACGAAAAAAATATCAACAATTTTGATTGCAAATAATTGTAAAAAAGTCCCACTACTTGACATACCTCCTATATAAATATACCTCGTTATTTACCGCATTTTAAAGAAAATACACACGTGTGCAAAAATTTAGCCTTTTATCTCAATTCGCTAAGAAGATAGCGTGATTACGCAATCGGACATCGCTAAATCGGCTTAGAAGTTAACGCTGATCTAGAATAATTTACTTTGTAGGGTTTAACATAAGTATTTCGAAGTGTTACAAACGGAATGACAAAGTTAATATACCCTCCATAGAATGATGGAGGGTATAAAAACTAACATTTGGCTTAATTTCATGTTTAAACTGGATATACTGCAATGAGTAAAAAAATCAACAACCAAAAAAGCACATAAGTTCGGCCGGGTGAAATTTTTAATACCCTCCAACATTTGGAAAGGACTTGAAAAAATGTCGTCGAAAAAATCGGTTTAAATTAAAACGAATAGTAAAATGTATGAAGACGAAAAAAATTCCTCATATATTTTCCTCGAAGGCGGAAGTCACGAAGATTAAAATATCTGTCCCAATTTAAAAAAAAAAAAAAAATATATATACATATACTATTAATTTTTCCTAAGAAAACCGAATATCTGCTAAATAAAATTAATTGTATGAGGTCTCCGGCTCTTTCTCCAAAAAATCACTTCACGTCGTCCCATCATTACCTTTTTCACTTTGTAATGCTTTCTCTTTCCAAGAACGATTGACCTCCGTGCTGATCGGATGCTCGTGAATATGATTGTAGGACATATAAATTGGTGCTGGTACTGTTTCGGGACCTGTATCTGTATTCATATTATCCTCTAAGCGAACATTTGTTACGGATGTTCCGGTGGCCCAAGTGTGAACCGTATGTGGTATATGGCCGGTATATGTTGGACCGGTCATGGATCCAGGCATAGAATGTAAGGGTGTTGACAAGGGTTGCAGTGTTGGTGGTGGTATTGATATTGGATCCATGTAAGAATTGTTACAGTGCATCGAGGTATATAAGTTATTCATAGGACCGCTGTCAGCTGAATTCGGATATGTAGAATGTTGTGCAGTTATGGCGTAGCTATTTAAATGCATATCTAAAGGATATTCTTCTGCGTAAGTCGTCGGAACAGATATCTGCGAATTGGAAACAGTGTGTGAGTGTGCGTTAACCGAAGTTGTTCCCAATTCTAGAAGTACTGGTTTTTCGTTTTCCGTATCCGAATCGTATGTTTTTACAATAACTGTTGTTGGCAACGGACCGTCGGTGGTTGCAGTTTCAGCTCTTGGCTCAACTAAATGTGTCGTGGGAGTAACTTCGTTATCCATTTGTTCTGGATGATCTTTCATTGTATTATTTTCAATTTTTTAGTTTTAATAATATTAACAATTGATTTTTATTTTTGTTTTCACATAAAAACACAGAACTTGATGCACAATTTCTTATTCCTTTTCATTAGAATGAAAAATTAGAATTACAACTATTTGCTGTTAATGACCGTCGGTTTTAAATTTCATTTCAAAAGCACTTAAATGCGGGAGGCCTTAACAAACTCCGAGTCCAGCTTAACATCAATCCGTTCGGTATTCAATTAAACGCTTAAATGATTTAAATGGATCTCCCTTTTGAGGTGTTTCTGCTATCGCATAAGCAGGTCTTTTTTGAGTGACACACACAAGGTGCTCATCGTGTTTTAACTCAATGATGTGTGTGAGTGGCTTATTTCATATGCTCTCGCACTCAGTTCAATTTGATTGGTTGTAAGGAAGTATTGAACGTGGAATCATTGTTATTGTTATATATATATCTTGTAAATAGAGTCCATAATATATAATATGTTCCATAGTGTGATGAAGTGATATGTTTGACGAATGAGAAGAGTTTTAGATAAAATTTGCAATTAGGAGTACCATGAAACAACAAACCCATGCGTGTTTATTAAGCCGCAAAATATATTGGAGTAGTACAACCATAGACAAATAAGGGTATAGACTAAAAAGTTTTAAAATTTACCCCTACCGGCAGATGTCATTATGGTTGATCTTGGGCCAGTAAAGTCACTCAGCGCTATTGAAGTCACTCTACTTCGAAAACAATTTATTCATTTTTCTGCTATTTAAGTTCTATATTTTAAAAGTAAACAAAATCTAAAAGTAAAAACGTTTTCAATTGATAAATAATAAAGAATAATAAAAATATTTAATAATTTGTATTTTGAGAGAATTAAGTGAGTCTACTGAACCTCTCTCACAGCATGAACGATATCTATTGAAACACTTTTTTCGAAGATAACAGATGATACAACTTTTTAGTCTATACCTTTATTTGTCTGTGGTACAACTCCATCGTACAGGAAATTATTGAACGTTATCAATTTTACTTTATATTCAATAATATGTAAGCTGCGGAATCCTAAGCAAATACATAAATGCCACAGGAAATAATAAATGTTAGTCCCAGAAGTTATGGATGTTTCGGTATATACCATTTGATTCGCCCCATCGAAATAACATTTTTTTATTCCTCGGACTCTTTAAACTAAATCCAATTTACGACATTTGCATCTGACTAGCTGGTGTACACGATAAGTTTCGAATGGCTTATACGATTTGGCCAAATCGGTTCATCGTATTTTTTAACAAACCTAGATTAAATTCTGAGAGTGGTAATATAAATGTATTCCTTCTGATAACTTTCCCACAAAAGTTCAAAATGTCATATAAAGAAACAACGGATTCGGATTAAATTTCGCACGTTACAATATTTATATTAGTATTCGGTCAGGTGAGAAAAACGGTACCCCTTTCTGGTACCTCAAACATAAGGGTAACTCTCACACAAATTTAAAATTATTCTCTGATTAATTCTAACACATTACACATTCCAATCGATTAGGGCTATACCTATAGTGGAGAGGAGTTTTATCGGCCCACTCCTCGTACCAAGAAGATGGTCCAATATTATGATAATATTCCTTAAAAAATTGATAATTTTTTGTACGATTTCTTCAAGTTTCTCTGGTACCTCTCCCACAATTTGTCAAAATTTTGAAAAATAACAATCATCATCTTGTTCATGACTGAGACCAAACAGGACAAACTGTAATAATGGTCCACACTCAAAAAAAGTAAATTAGTGTCAGAAAAAAGTAAATTAGTGGCAGATTTCCTTCATAAATCACAAAAATTCAAAGCCGTTATATGGGGGCCATACTAAAACGAGAGCCTATATTGACCATTTTATACTACAACGATTGCAATCTATTGTGAGTTTTAAATACCAAACTTTACATAATTTCGCTAGTAAATGTGACTAGGACCAATATGGACAATGTACATACATTTATCGCCCGATCCAGATGAAATTTTGCACAAATCATTTATTTGACCCATGGACGAACCATATTGAAATTGGATATAATCGGTCAAAATTTAGATATAGATTCCATATATATCTTCGTCCGATTGCCTTTTTTGTGCACCAAACGTGTAATATCAGCCCAAATTAGGGCTGAAAATAAGTATGCCAAATTTTATTGAAATCGGCTCAGATATAGCTATAGCTCCCATTTGTATTGTTCATCCGATTTGTTGAATTTGTCCTGCACTCTTTTGTAACGATATTCGGGGAAATATATCAAATACAGCTCAGAAATGCTTTTGCCAAATTGTATCGATATCGGTTCAGATTTGGACATATCTCCCATATATATCTTTATCGGATAATTGTGCACCAAATGGGTAATATAAGCCCGAATTGAGAAGACACAAATGCCTCAGCAAATTTAGTAGGAATCGATTAAAAGGAGGATCGGTAACTCAACAAGTTAGAAAGTATCTGTCGGTTTTGCCGACAGATGTATATCCTCAGCCAATGTACGATTATTTAAAAATATTTTGACTTCTGTTATGATTATTCAAATGTTTAACCCCTTATGGAGTAGGTTCCGGAGGAATGGGCAATATTGGCCATTCCGTATCGGACCCATATAAATATGATATAAATATTGCGACGTGCTGGTTTGGACTATATCGACTGCTCCCTTCACTTTACATGTCATATATGATAATTTTTTAGAAAATGTTAACATGTGCGTGAGGTACCAAATATAGTCGACCGCAGTATTCCATTTTCATAATTACAAGAAAATCGAACATTTATATCCAATTTATGGAAAATCATAAATTTCATATTCATCTCAGGTTTCTGGCAAAGAGAGATATATTTAGGTATAGCAAGTTGTAAAGAATCGTTGACTTGTTTCGCAAGTTATTTGGCAGATAAAAGTATTGAAAATTGTGACCCTTCGAGAGTGAGGTACCACCTGCACAACATATATTGTATTAGCAAAAATGTTTGTATGTGTGAAATTTGAAGAGTGTTGAATGCTTATTTCGCTTTCTTCGAGCGTTTTGATTTTCAAAATCTTGAACCCTATGTGGGGCAGGTAGCAAAAAAATGGTCCGATCTCTACCATCTGTATAACAGATCTTGTGTTGATGGAAATATTGAGATGTACCATGTCTTGAATGGAATCGGAGGTTAATTTCGCTTTTTATGAGCTTCATGGATATCCAAAATGTTTAGCCTTTGTAGGGGAGGTACCGGAAAACATGGACCGATATATCCCATCTTTTTAACAGGTCTTTTGTCAGTGGAAATAATGGGTTGTGTGAAATATAAAGAGAAACTGATGCTTGTTACGGATTTTTGGATATTCAAAACTTTGACCCTTTATGGGGAGGTACCAGAACAAATGATCCGATCTCTAAGGTTTTTATAAGAGATCCTGTGTTGATAGAAATATTCAGATGTAACAAGTCTAATGGAATCGGATGTTAAATTCGTGTTTTATGAGCTTAATGGATATTCAAAATTTCGACCTTTTGTGGGTGAGGTGCCAGAAGGAGTGGACCGATGTATTCCATCTTAGCACCAGATCTTGGGTCTATAAAAATATTGGTATGTGCGAAATTTTAAGACAATCGAATTCTTACATCACATTTTATAAGAGTTATAATTATTCAAAATGTTGACCCTTTGTGGGAGAGGTACTTAATAGAGTGGACCGATATTGTCCATTTTCACACCTGACCTAGCACTGACGCAAATATTGGGATTTGCAAAGTTGGAGCAAAATCGGATTATCGTTTCTCTTTCTGTGCAAAAAATATTTTTTGAGAATTTCGACCTTTTGTAGGGGAGGTACCAGAAGGAGTGGACCGATATTGCCCATCTTCGAACTTGATCTAAGTTTGACAATAATATTACGATGTACCAATTTTGGACCAAATCGGATACTCCCTTTGAGAGTTATCGTGCGCACCAGGCAGATAGACTTGATCGACTCCAAATGTCCTGAAACGGATTTGGTCCAAAGAGACCTAGGGTCTGAAACCGTTATTTCGACTAGGCACGTTTTGACCGTATCAAATGATATATACCCTCTATGTAGAGAATGTTTTATATCCACTTACTGAAATAATAATTTTTTGCAATAATTTTTTCTCACATAATCTATTTACAACTACTCCATTAAGAAAAATGTTTCTTGTGTTTCTTCTGGAGTATTTCAACTCCATCATTTGAGTGAAAGTGTAACTGCTTTCGAGCATAAGAGAAGATTTTGAATATAACTCTTCATATTCAAAATCACTCTCACAATCCGATCGAGTTTAACAATGACTCGATCTCATTAATTACTTCTTTTACTTTTGCCTGGTTGTTAAGTGTTTACATAGATTTGTGTGTGACAGTGTCACTGGTGCTATTATTCATCTCCAATATTTACTTTCGACCATTGTTTTCATCATTTGTCATCTCGAATGCAACAAGTTGCAGGTCTTTTGTATTTACCTTTGGATGCAACAATATCGAGCAATATCAGCCAAGACTTGAGCTGTTGAGATGTGGCACAGACATGTGTCAATAGAAAGACCAACAAGGCGCTCTGTTCTTTTTTTTTTTGGAAAACTGACCATCGCACATTACTTCGATCTGCAATTGCAATTGATGACAGTGGTGATGAACTCTGTTCTCTATTCATGGCTAATAACCGTATCAATGTCAATTGTGGAATTTCAATAGCCTGTGGCATTACTCTTTCAGTTTTGTGGGTAACGGTTACAAATGTTTCGATGCAGTCCCAACTTGAGTACAGTTTTTGATGGCTTGTTTTATTAGTAATGAAATTAATCTTGTACGCATTTCTCACCTAAAATAATTCGGAGTATTCTATTTTCTTTGTTTGTGTCATATCGCTCTCTGACTGTTCGATTGAACGCTCGATCCATTGTTTTAATCGCATTTATCACATTTGGAAGTGTATAAGAAAGTCAACACAAGTGTTTTTCATTAATTGAAATTTTAGTATTTCAGATGGATGTGAGTGTGTAGCAATGTGAATCGTTGGGGTGACCAACCTTTCTTGGATACAAAAGGGTCGCATGTGTCATGAAGTGTAAATCCGGTACACGCATTTAGGTTTTGAGCATCGAACAAATTATGTAATAAATCATAGTTCACACGTAGGACTTTTTTGCAGAAAGAAGTGGTCGATTTGACTTACCTATGGTGAATAAAAATGTATTTGCAGAGAGAAAA